TAGAGATCCGCATTCGTTCTGCAATTAATGCAGCAAACTCTAAGAGGTGCTGAGTTCGACTGCAGAAAACGCAGAGTTGACGTTCTCTACTCATGGCGCAGGAAATTGCATAGGTGAGTTTTACTCCACTTTTCGCCTACGTGGCTGTAGTTCGCCCCATCAGCATGACTAAAAAATTTCTTCTAAGCCTCACCAGATTTCACGGTTGTGACTAACCCGTAGAACGACTGAAACTATTCCATAGGTTGTGAACAGTTCTCTCCTTCAACAGGAACCAAAACACAAGTAATGCGAACGAAAGGCCAGAGTGCGTTAGCAAGACTCGGAGCCATGAGATCGACTTATTTTCGGTAGGGGTGTGTCGGAGGTTGAATGTATGTATACGACTTGGGACACTCGCCCAGCGTGTGGTGTGCCGCGAGTTCGGGCACAGTTCAGGACCTCTGACGTCTCCTTCGTGCTGTGTGTGTGTTGGTCCATATTCAAGATTTTCTGATCCTCGTCTCCTCTACACCAACCTTAAATTCCGTTTTGAATTGCGTTTCCTGTAGCAACATTTTAGAAGCCAGCGCCATTTTGTCACCAGATTTCAAGGTGCCGTCATCAAATTCGATAAGCTGTCATTTGGAAAGCACGACTATTACAGAGTATGAACAAAATACCTATCCCGCGAAACCCCACAACATATTACAGAATTGTTGGCGATGTCAGTCCCAACCTCACTCTCATTCCGAGGAGCCCATCGACTCTCTCTCACCGGGGCTAGTGAATCTTACTCTTCAACCCACAAGTTTTTCACAATGGTCACTGTTTTCGTCCAATTTTAATCAACGGAAATGGTCACTGCTTTCGTCCAGTTTTAATCAACGGAACTGTGGTCGTCACACACGAGAAAATGTTTTTTTTTCTGGCGTACCGCTTCACTGTGCTGTTCAGTCAGACAAATCCAATTGGGTGCGCAGACCTACCTAACCACAGCAACAGAATTATTCAAAAAGCTCTTTAGTTTCTTGTGCTCTTAATGACGTTTATTCCTCAAACCACTTGTGAGGTGGGCGGCAGACAGAACGACTGTGCAGCGACATGTGTCCAGTCAAAGCTACATCGTGGTGACTGACAGTCTGCTCGACTGCGCTGACATTCCCGTGTGAGTGACAAAATTCCAACCGACAGGTTCACAAGAAACTTGAATAAGTTGTGATAATTGAATTTAGTAAGACAGGGTTCTGAAAAAAAACAAATATTTGTCCTTTGCAAAAATCGCCAAAAGACAAAGCAGTACAAATCAGTCGCAAACTGAAGGCGATTTAGGCCAGCCAGTTATGTTGGTTTGATCGATTACTTCGGTCTTACCGATTTACGGAACTGAAGCAAAGACGTATGTAATTGATGGAGGGAAATAGTTTGAAAACGGTAATTTTTTGGAAATTTTGTGCACCTCACGTTGTGGGGTACTTGTATTTGTAGACGAACTATTAGAGCCGCAGTTGTCATTCTCGGACCGCTTGATCGACCAACCACTGAACCACGTGTTCGAGTC